TTTGCTGTGGTTGGCGTCGGAGTTGGTTTCCTTTAACTCGTTCTGCTCAAAGTTCAGCTTCTTAACCACGCTGTCCGTCACCTGAAGCCCCGCCTCCTTCTCTTCTTTCACACCCGGGGTGACAGCTGGCGTCTGTTTGCTCGACGTCCATCCCTCGACCTTTACCCCCGACTTTGCAGCGCTCGTCTTGGACATCACGGCCGCCTGCCTCATCTTCTCCAGCCTCTGCTTCTCCTCCAGAGTGAACTGCTTAACGCGGCGCTCCAGAAGCCCGTCCAGCTTCGAGGGTTTCACCTTCTTCTTGTACGCCGTCCGCAGCTGGAAGCCCTCGCTGACGTTCACGACATCGTAGTACGGCTTCGGGGCGGCGCTCTCCTCCTTCACGGGTCGTTCCACTTTCAGGATTGGTTCCTCTGGCGCCGGCTGCACAGACGGCGAGGAAGCTTCTGGGTTTTCAGTTTGATCTAAAACAAAAAGTCAAAGAAATTAAATCATGGTGATGTCATCGGGGATGTGTGTGTCAATTTTTTGATTTGGGTGTGTGTGTGGGTTGCTTGTTTTTTGTTGTTTTATTTTTCACTATTACAAAAGAAATTGGGCAAACTAAGATATTATTGTAACCATTTTGTTTTCTTCTTCTGCATTCTATTATTGTTTTGTATAACATTTAAAAAAAATAATAATAATAATAATGATGTAAGAAATTAACTATGTCTGGTTTGCCCAATAAACACAAAGAAAAAAAAAAAAAAAAGGTCAGTGGATCATAGAAGTATGAAGGATGACACCATGAAATCATTTTTAACTTTAAGCTGTTTTCACATCTGCACTCAGTATGAAACATTGTGCTCCTGTTATTTACATTTACATCTATATTAAAAAGGAAATGATCTTCAGAAAATGTAAAGGGGGAATAATGGATTTGAAGTGTCTAAAAATGTAAATTCTGGTTGGCGTTTTTTGTTTTTGGATTTTGAAAATTTCAAAAAAAAAAATCAGAGAATCGAAAAAAGACAAAGTACTTTGACTTTTCTGTTTTCATCACACGTGTTACACTGATTTACACAACTCATCATATGCACAAAAAATCCAGACGGGGAAACAGAAAATGTTCAAACAACACGTTTACCTTTCTGGGCACTTGAAGAAGTCGTTTCTGAGGTGGGGTTGACCTCCATTTTTTCCTCTTCTCTCTTTTGTTCCTTGTTCTGTCCCGTCTCCTCAGCGGGCGTTTCTCCCTCGGTGGAGGTCGGCGGTTTGCTTCCGTCGTCTGATGAAGTGCTCTGAGACGACGCGCTGACAGAAGCTTCTTCCTCCTCTGATCTCTTCTGACTCTCCTTCACATTTTCTACTGAACTCTCCGGCTTTGTAGTGCAAGATGCTGCGTTTTCCTTCCTCAGTTTAGCTGCTACAAGAGAAATCGCAGTATGAGTAAAAAAATGTTTCCAGCAGCAGGAGAATTGTATTTATTTTGTTGAGTCTTTACCCTCGAGTTCTTTGCGGTAGTTTACGTTTGTGTTCCCCGGAAGCTTTGGGACAAAACGCGGCACACGAGTTTTACTGCTCCAGCTCCAGCCGCCGTACCCGGTCACTCTGTACTCCTCCCCCTTCTGCTTCCACACCTAGAACACAAACACAGTTTAAAGTGTGTGAGCTTTATTTCTAAGATATTCTCTAACATGTGTCAGGTGTTTGACCTTGGAGGTGACTTCCTGTTTCAGATCTCTGCAGGTCTGGTTTTAACCCCAGGTCTTAGTCCTCCTACCTGGTGCTTGATGGGGATTGTGTATTTGACCCATGTGGCCTGTAGCAGCGTCTCCTCATCCTCCAGTTTTTTCTCCCGCTTCTTCACCTTCTCCTTATCGTCTCGCTCCATGGAGGTCATACGATGTAGTCTGAAGCAGGAAACAGAGCGTGTGAGAAAGATTTAAAGGGAAATGAAAAAGTTATTATTCAGTCTGTAGTGAGACAGCAGCTTGAGGGCCTGATCACACAGAGACTCGTCGCCTGCCTGAGCTTATTTGTATTTATTTGTTATTTAACATGGACATACAGTAACATTGGTGCTGTAACATTTAACCATGCACACGTTGCTAAAAATGCTAATTTGCAACACCTGTCCACGGGAGGCTTTAAGGGGGAATTTTTATCTGGGGGGGAAAAATCAGCTGGGAGCACCCGGGCTGCATGGGCGCCAAATTAAATAAGTGGGGAAAAATTGACTTAAGCAATCGTAGAGCTCTCTCCTTGTGGATGTAAAGCTTCTTGATTGGATTTGCTGCTTCAACCAAATGTGACTTGGACGAGCGCTGTGACTCCATGCACATAACCTCAAAAGTTGAACTTTTTAAAAACTTTTATATGGGTCCAAAACGAACAGTGTGGGGTTTGTCCTTCACCTCGTGTGTCCCAGAGAGTCTTTCCACACGGGCAGCGTGACCACGGGTTTGATGGCACACTCCAGGATGGCCAGAGCCAAAGCGAACTCTCGGGCTTTGCTGCACATCTGCACCGCTTTGTTCCAGTTGGTCCTGAAAACAAACAAGAATGAGGAAACATTTTAGAAGCACAACAGATTACAAAGCAGGTTGTTCAGTTTCTTACATTAGGGCGCCCAAAACGCCGGCGTCTTTTTAAAACTTGTTTTCAATGAGTAGAGAGCGTTTGAAAGCAGAAAGCGCCCGCCTGGATTCAAAGCGCAGCACCAAGCATCTTTTTTCCGAGCATTCTTCCTCTTTTGTGCGGCCACACCGAACACATCGAAGTCTTTAACTTTTCAGAAAAGCGCCGTTGACGTCTCCAGCGCTCTTTTATAAATATGATATTCCACATCGAGACACAGTACGAGGACAAACATCCTCCGTTTGATGCTCATAGTGAAGGAAACAATGATTTCAAAACATCAGAGCAGTGTCGGTCATACAGCCGTTGTTTTTAAGTAACTGTTGTCATGGAGACGATGCATGTAGGAGCCAAAATGCTTGTGCAAGAAACCTAACAGAACACTAAGAATTTGTATTTGAGTGTAATTCCGACACTGAACACTAGGTGGAGTCTTGACTTGTGCTGTGCATAAAGCCAAGGCTCCAGGTCGTTGAATTCAGGTGCGTGTTTGGAGGCATATAGTTTTTTGACCATGTCGGGTTGACTTAGATGTAACAGTGTATGTTTTATGATGTGTTGGACAGAATGAGACATTTATGTGCATCAGTGAACCCCGATCATGAACTAAAATAAACAGATTGAAGACTCTGTTGGAAAAGACAACCAGACATTTGTTTGTTGCAACGCCAGCTGCACGTGTCCGGAAACAGTCCCAAAACTCACATCTCAGTGGTGACTGCTTTGGACAATAAAGGGTTTGTTTAAAAAGGACGTTCTTCTATCATCGTCTGAAACATTTTAGCGAGTCGTACCTGTGCGACGCCCAGTTAGGATGCATGAACGGCCCGGGGACGCTGGTCTCCAGCTGGATGATGGTGAGCCGCAGGGTAGAGACGGTCAGACTCCGTGAGCCGTAGATGGAGCCGTTCCACTTGAACTCGGCGGCGGTGGTCAGGCTGAACTTGTGCGAGAGGTGGCGCCTCTTGTCGTGGTCCTCGCGGTGCTGGTGCTTGTTCAGGGCCAGGACGTTGGTGCTGTACTGGTTGTGGTAGACGCGGTATTTACCCTCCTGGCCCAGTTTGAACAGGTTGTTCAGGTTGACGGCGAGGTCTCTTTTGAAGAAGCTGAGGCGCGTGGACTCGCCTTCAAAAGGCACCGGAGACGACTGAAACACGACAGGGAACATGACAGTCAGATATTCTACAAGACAAAAAAAAAAACACTTCACAGCTTCACCGGGACGTCACACACTTCCTGCACGCCACCAAAGGCGTCCTACTGCTGCACGCTACAGAGACGTCCTCTGATGTCACTCTGGATACAACTTGTTAGTTTTCTCTTTATTTAAAAGTTTTTCTGACTGAGTGTAAAATGATCCAGAGCGTTTGTTGAACTCTGAGGTTAAAAAGCAGCGCCCTGTTCTCACCTCTTTGCTCCCTCGGGGCGTGTGATGATTCGATCGATGTCCTGCCACTCGTCCTTTTTCACTTTTAAACTTCTCGTTGTACTCGTCTGTAAAAATCACAAAGCAGACAACGCTGTCATGATTAAACTCTCCGGCCTCCTTCAGTTGGAACTGACTGAATGTTTCTGCTCATCATCACCTGTCCCGTCCTGGCTGGTGAAAGAGGAGCGAGAGCACGGGTCGGTCAGGTCGGGCTGCTCTGCTTTCAAGACGTTCTCACAGCCGGACACCTGACTGCTGCTCGCCACCTGAGACGTCTGAGACGTCTGAGACGTCTGAGACGCCGGATTCTGTGGCTGATCTGCAGTTTGTGTCTGCGACTTGTCAGGCTGTTTGTCTTCACTGCTGGATTCTGCTTTTGCATCCTCACCTGTAAGAAAGAGAGAGGGCACAGGTATTAGGAAGTATTAAGACGAGTGAAGGGGAGAGGAGAGGAGAGGAGAGGAGAGGAGAGGAGAGGAGAGGAGAGGAGACGAGACGAGACGACAGGAGAGGAGAGGAGACGGAGAGGAGAGGGAGAGGACACGGGAGGAGAGGAGAGGAGAGGAGAGGGAGAGGACACGAGAGGAGAGGAGAGGAGAGGACACGAGAGGAGAGGAGAGGAGAGGAGAGGAGAGGAGAGGAGAGGAGAGGACACGAGAGGAGAGGAGAGGAGAGGAGAGGAGAGGAGAGGAGAGGAGAGGAGAGGAGAGGAGAGGAGAGGAGAGGAGGTATGTGTGGTGTCTGTGGATTAGAGGATAGGAGAACAGAGTAATGATGAACAGATTAAGTGGTTTTAAAAGTTTTTAAAAGGTTCCGAGGTCTGGCAGAACAAACTCCAGATAAAGTCTGCTTTGCTGTTTGTGTTTACACGTCTGTCTTAAGACACATTAGTAGACGACCCACAAAGAGTCTTTGGACTAGCTCAGATGAAACCCAGACCCACAAATCCAGAACAAGCAGTGCATTTGCTGCTGGGGGGGGGGGGGCTTCCAGGCTCAGAGTCTTTTGTCTCAGCAACAGGAACAAACGAACACAAACTGGAACAAGAAGAAGGAGCCGACTGTGACAGACGGGGCGAGCTAGCTGCTGCCAGGGGCGCCGTCTATCGCCGAGCCAAAAACGAGCTTTTTATGAGCAGGAGGAATGCAGGAGACGACGTGTAGCACAAAACAAACGGGTAGCTTTAGCTTTAGCTTCAGGCTTAGAGAAGGTCGAGAGGAGTGACTGGAAATGTGAAGGAAAATAGCTCTTTAGATGTAAACTCTCTGAGAGGGAACTTTAAAGGAATCAGGCTGTAGTTTGCAGTTTCATCCAGCAGAGGGCGCTCTAAGCATAACGAGACCATTGCATGCACTGCTGACCTCACCTAATGAAGACAGTAATGTTGTGGCTAAAGCAAAAAAAGAAGCTAAAGCTAACGTTTGGGGTTAAACGTCAGAAACAAGCCGGCAGGTGAGGACGGATGTGAAACAGATAAGAAGTGGAGGATGAAGTTGAGCGGCCACACGGCTTCACGTACCTGTTCTTTCCTGCCCCGCCACCAGAGGGGACCCGGAGCAGGCAGACGGCGCGTCCTTCTTTGATTCGGCGCTCTCTGTGGGCGGCGAGGTTGAGTCCTGGGCGGCCGAGCCGGAGTTTGGATCAGACGCAGAGCTCTCCTCTGCAGGAGGCGGAGCTGCAGCTGCAGAGCAAACAGAACCACAGGAGTCATTATAACGTTCATACAGCTGCTGAAACGCCACTGAGACGGCGTCCACAGAAAATGTTTCTGTCCACATGTTGGTCACTTTACCCTGTGAGTTAGCATCCTCTGTGCGCTCAGCGTTTGGGAGGACTTCTCCGTTCCCCTCCGTCTTCACCGAGCTCATTTCTGCTTCCCGCTTTGCCTCCTCTGCTCGCCGCTTTGCTTCCTGCGCCTCCCGCCTGACCTTCAGACGCTCCGTGATAACTTCTACAAACACAAATCAACGGACATGAGCAGAAGCTTTTAACAAGTTAGGAAACCACACGCTGATTCCAGTGAGCTGTGTAGAGAGTGAGATGATAAAGGTATCTTACTCTCTGATCATTAAGGAAACATGCTATGTTGAAGTGCTGGCTTCTCTGACAACAATGCAGCAGCCAGTATGTCCTCCTTCTAACTTTAGATTCTGCTCCTGAATGCTCTGGATTTGTTTGGACCAGAGAAGGTAGACGCTTTTAAGACACCCCCACACGGCCGTTTTGGACGCCCCTCGGTTTGTCAGATATGAGAGCAGTTATCAGGTCAACAGGTGTTGCAGCGATGGAAGCGGTCAAGAGAAGTGGTTCAGATAGAAGTGATTGTACCCGACCTAAAAAGCCTCTGCATGTTTCTAATAAGCTCCACGAGCAGAAACGTGCTCAAACTAGGATCAATATTGGAGATGCTTTTGAAAAATGGAGAGAGGTTAGAACACAGAAAGGTTTACAGACCCATGCAGAGCTGGATAAACACTGAAGCTTCAGAGTCCACCACATGGTGACCTGAGTGAGCATCCACTCTAGAGAGGAGGGGGGGGGGTACAGCTCTCTATGATGTTTAGAATTTGGACTGCAGTACACATTTTAAACACTAGGTGACAGAGTTACATATTACTCCTTTAATATAAATTTACTAAAAAAGAAAGAGAAATTGTCTCAGCTGTTCAGAAAATATCCAAAAGAAAGATTAAGTGTTGCTTTTTCTATCGAAAAGATAAATATAAATATTTGTCATGGATGTGAGAATATTTACAGCCAATAACTCAAGAACAGTGTTTAAAATCATCAAGATTCAAGACGGGCAGATTTTTAGTCCTCATGAGACCAAAATCTCCAGAGAACCTTGTTTCATAACTTCAGTTCTCACAGAGAGAGAAGTGTCAAAAGTGACTGAGAGGAACTGTGCAGCAGCAGCAGTCTGCTCCAAACGGATGAAGTGAACCAAAAACACCCATAAATCACTGATGGAGAAACAAAGCTCGAAAAAACCACTTCACAAAAACATCTTTCTGCAAAAGTAAACGATCCATCCTGAAGAGTCTGACCCCCAACAAACACAGAACACAACTGGTCGACTGGTGTCTGAGACATGTTGGTGTCAAACACAACAAAGGTCTTAAATATGGCTGCCAGTCGAAGGGAAACTGCTGCCAGTCAAACCAGAAGTCTATGAACGCCGTTTAAATTCATGTGTCAACTGACAGAGCAACACACACACACACACACACACACACACACACACACACACACACACACACACACACACACACACACACACACACACACACACACACACACACACACACACACACACACACACACACACACACACAACACACACACACACACACACACACACACACACACACACACACACACACACACACACACACACACACACACACACACACACACACACACACACACACACACACAGTGAAGACTAAATGGAATCCGTACCGTTGACGGTGGTGAGGTAGGCTTTGTTGTTCGAGCGGGCTTTGTTGGTCAGCTCCTCCGTGATGTCCATGTGAGCTCGCACCTCCTCCTTCATCTCCTCCAGGGTGGCGTGCAGGTCCACCTCCCAGTACTCCTGATCCAGACTCTCCATCAGCTCCTCCAGCTGAGCCTTGGTGCTGTAGTACCAGATCTTCTTCTTCTCGTGCTCGCCGTCCTCCTCGCTGCGAGAAGGAGGAAACACACAGCGGTTATAAAGGTGAGATTACAGCAGAGAACTGAGAACAACACAAACAGGATCAAACAATCAGTCAGTCGATGGTTTGTTGTAAAAGCTGCTTTAAATTACAGCTCAACGAGACACACTCACACACTCAATGTAGAGACAACAGGGAAACCAACTTTCAGGGAGCTTTTTTCAACTGGGAGCAACTTATTATTTTTTTTTACCAGTTTTTTGCCTCTCACTGAGGGTGACAGCCGAGCAGAACATGACACATTTAAATCCAGATAAAAAGTCCTGACTTTCACATTTGAATACCAGGTTTAAAAAGAGTCTTTGGGCGCACTGTACCCTGCTGAGGCTCGATTGTTGGGAGGGTTGTTTATAGGGGGAAGTGATACTGGGTTTTTGAATGTTTCTGGGGAAAAAACAAAAATGTTGACTGCATCCTAATTGCACTTTATGTCTTGAACTTGCTTTAATAAAAATATGTTGAAAAAAATAATAAAAAAAGAGTTCTCCCTCTTGTATTGCTTATCCACTGACGTCTGTTTCCCGTAGTCTTTGCTGCAGAATGACTGGTACTTTTGTTTATACATCACACGTTTTAAAACAATACACTCTTCATTATTTGAGTGACCGATTGAAAAGGAAAGAACCAGAACTTCAGATCTTCAGTCACATTTTTAACCAAAACCTGCCGTGAGTAAAGAGCGAGCGCAGCAGACTACATCACAAAAACCAATCTTCAGTGCAACTGAGAGTGCGTGCAGGAGTTAGCCAGCCATGTCAGTTTCTGATTCATTCATCCTGAAGAGGATGTAACATAAATCTACCAGAACAAAACATGGAAAATGTGTTTGCATTCATTTTAAAACACTCTCTAAAGCCTGTGTGCATGCTCATGTAAGATCAGAGTAAATATCTGTTAAATTAATTTAACTCTTTCAGTTCCTGCAGCGTGTGAGCAGCTTTTTGGAAACTAAAATTAAGAAGCGAGTCATTGCGCAGTGCCTGAAGCTTCGATTGTTGTTGCGCTACTATTGAAACAGGTGTGGATATGAAACTCCTTGGGGGGGCGCCGGTGGCCTAGTGGTTAGTGCGTGCGCCCGGGTTCAAATCCGACCTGTGGCTCCTTTCTCACATGTCTGTCCCTACTCTCTCTCTCTCCCCCTCTCTCTCTCTCCCCACTTTCCAACTCTTTCCACTGTCCCATCTCTAAATAAAAAAAAGTTTTCTGGTTCTTGTAACTTACACAATAATCCTTCTGTTGATGAACCAGTATTTCCTCTGGTGGCGGTCGTATCCGATTGGCTCCTGGCGGATGTAGGGTCGGTTCTTCTGCGCTTCTGACACGCAGTCCGTGACCCCGGGCACTTTGTGCGCCACACAAATCTCACACTGCCACTCGTCCTCCGGGACGACCTCCAGGGGGGGTTTCACGCACTCCAGGTGGTAAACCGCCGAGCAGGTCTCGCAGCACAGCAGGTCGCCGAGGCGGTGACACACGCGGCAGTGGTCGTCGTACTGCATGCTCCCGTCGGACATCAGCTCCTCGCGGGCGATGTTGGTGGTGAGGAACTGGTCTACCAAAAACTGCAGCACCTTGATCTTACTCTCCAGCGGGCTGTACGGGTACTCGTCCGTCTCCTGATAGGGCAGCACGTGGTGGTACTCCCGGTCGCTCTCGCAGTACGCCCGCAACACCTCGGGCCACGTCATGCCGTCTATAAAGTACAGCGTGGAGTTGACGCTGTCTTTGAGGTCTGCGGGGCCGAAGGTAGTGTTGGACGAGTCCTCCTCACGTAGGATGACCTTCAAGAGGGAAATGTGCGTCTCTGCTAATAAAGTGCACTGCTCCTGTCCCACGAGCGCCGCGCAGAAGTCCTCGAAGCGGAACGGGGACAGACGCAGAACCGTGCTGAAGTTCCTCAGCACCTCGTAGATGGAGGTGGCGTTGAGCATCTCCTCCTTCGTCACCAGGAGGTCCTCCGAGGAGTCGGGGAGAACGAGGGGCGGGATCTTCTCCTCCTCCAGGACGGGGGTGCGAGGCCGTGGCCGTCCTTTCTTCTTCCCTGGAAGAAACACAAATGATATAAGTTTACTGTAATAAATAAAAACTCTGATGCACGTGATACTCAGGATCCAACGAGATTTAAACTTTATAATCTCTATTACTTTAATGATCCATAGAAACATGAAGTACTGAAGCTTTAAAAACAGACACATCTTCAGGCATAAGCTGCCCATATTTTTGAAATCTTGACATTAAGAGGGAGTTTTCTTACTTTTATTAGTCACTGAAAACAAGAAAATGAATGACGCCCCGGTCATGTGTTGTTGTTGCCGTGGTTTAAACAGGCTTGGATATCGTTTCATTTGTACTAAAGCTGTATCAAAATTTAAAAATCTTGCACCGTGATAAACCCTGATGCTAACATATGGTATGAAAGAGCGAGGAAAAATAACCATAAACTTCTTCTCTTCTGTTGTTTTGAGACACTTCCTGCATAGAAATATCTTCAACTGTCAGCTGTTTATATTGTTAGTCACATTTTTAAAGTTGTGCAGGTACAATTCATTAACTTCAAGAAGAAAGCGTCACACTTTTCATTATTTTACAACTCATAAGTCATAAAGAGAGCGATAACCTGTGAAGGTTTTAAACTTGGAGGTAACTTGTGGTTGTGTAACTTCAGTGTGAGCCGGTTGAACACATGGCTACTGTCATCAGCTAAAAGAAGCTGCTGCTGCAGGACAACATCATCTGTCAGGCTGGAAAACACTGGAAATGTTCACTTTAGGAAACACATTTAAACCCCTGCTCTTTTTCATGCTCCACTTGAACAACATAAACACTCAGTTTGTGCTGCAGGAGTCTTTGGAAGTTACTAAATTAGAAAGCTGTCAGAGGAGTGCTAAAGGAGCTAAGGAAGCTAAGTCAGTTAGCTCCCTGTTTTCTAATCAGCTTCAATTAGAAATTTAATTAATTAGTTGTGTAAAAAATAAAGCAAGGATGAGCACTTATAGTAGCTAAACACACACACACATACACACTCACACAGTCACTTAATGTACCGTTATGTTGTTATTATTGACCTAAGGATGACAGCATGCTAATTTGTCATGCTAACGTTAGCATGCTAGCAGCTGCTTTTGATTTCTTAACCTGCAGAGTAAGAATCTTTTAAAGCTGTTTTTTTGTGATGTGTGAGGTGTGTTTAGAAGGCTTGATTTAAGGTTGTGATAAAAAGGTAATGTGAGGGGATGCAGGTGTGGTCTGAGTTCACCTGCAGCAGCATTAATGACCGCGGCCTGTGTTCACACAGTCTCCATTTTGAACAATAACAGATCTGCTTCCTGTGCTGCACAAACAAACACCATCGGGGGCTTTTCGGGGGCTTTTCGGGGTGCATGGGATAAACGACGTGTTGCAGGATGAGGCCTGATTGAGTGTGTGTGTTTACCCGGAGTGCTGGTGTGTGTGCTCTGACTCCTGAAGCTGCTCTCTGTGCAGAAGCTCGCATCCTCCTCCACCTCCTCCTCCTCCTCCTCCTCCTCCCCGTCCAGCACATCTTCTTCCAGGCAGTCCGAGTCCTCTTTGAGGCCCTCGTCCTCCTCGGACTGGGGTTCCTCCTCGATGAACTCGTCCTCCTCGGACCTCAGGCTGACAGCGTCGTCGTCCTCGTCGCTCTCATGGTCGTCGTAAACCACTTTTTTGGAGGCGGCGGCGCGTCTTCCTCCGCGACCCCCTCTGCCTCCTCTCCCGACCCCGCCGCCGCCTCTGCCTCGTCCCCGTCCCCGTGTGGACGTCCCGGATCCCCGTTTCCTCTTTCTGGAGGTCTTGGCGGGCTCCCGTGTGGGGCTCTCCACGTCCTCGTCCCCGCTGTCCCTCGGCCTGGGCTTCAGATTCCTCCTGGGTCGTAAGCCCCGGGCCGTGGTTGGAGACGGTTCCTCTGCTTGGAGAGGTTTGGGCGGCCTGCCCCGCTTCCCTCTCATGATCAGCGACAGCGATTATTTTATTGTCCCAATTTTTGCGTTTCTTTAGCCTGCACCAACGCGAGCGAAAACTGCACCCCAACAGAGCTGGAGGGGTGAGGGTTCAGACGGTGTCGTGTCCCCGAGAAGCCCGGATGTCTCTCCGGCTGCGAGAGCTCAAAACGTTAGCCCGGCGTCCCGTTTCGGTTCTTCTAGAGCCGCCATCTTTCTTCTCTTCTCTGAACAAACAGCAGCTCCCGCACCGCCGAGGTCACGTGGTTACACTGTTTGCAGCTCGATGGCAACAACGAGGGAAAAATTACACACAGTTACTTTCATATTTTAAGTACCGATATGTATGGAAACCCATTTCCACCAGTTAAAAAAAATAAAAATGAAAATAATAAAGTCATAATAATGAGATAAAAAGTCATAATAATGAGATAAAAAAGTCATAATAATGAGATAAAAAGTCATAATTATGAGAGGATTATTGTATAATTAGGACATGGAGCGAGAAAGCACCGAGGCACCGGAGCCCTTCCAGGGAGGGGGCGTGGTCAGACACAGCTCATTTACATATTTAAAGGTACAGACACAGAAACAGCCTGTTCTGAGCAGGGCTGAAATAGAGGGGTTTATAGACATGATCAAATACAGGATCAGAGTGGATTTAGAACAAGAAACTTCACACATGTTTTGAGGAGCTCTGAGACTTATTTAAACTGAAGAGGAGGAGGATATGTCACCTTTAATGTTGTGTTGAAATGTTTAGACATTAGTTGAGGTGTTTTTGTCTGTTTTTGTGATTTAATTGGAACAGACTACGATTATGTTATGTAAATTAACTAGGTGACATTGTGATATATAGCCACGTATAATATGAATGGACACACAACAATGTGTTGTCGTGGCCGAGTGGTTAAGGCGATGGATTAGAAATCCATTGGGATCTTCCCGCGCACGTTCGAATCCTGCCGACAACGAGCTATTAGAAGTCATAATTGTAAGATGTTAAGTCATAGTAATGAGATATAAAGTAATAATAATGAGATGTAAAATCATAATAATGCAATAAGAAGTCAAAATAATGAGATAAATTATCTCATAATAATGAGATAAGTTGACATTATGAGATATAAAGTCATAATGAGATCAGAAGTCATATTAATGAGATAAAAAGTCATAATATTGAGATATAAAGTCATAATAATGAGATAAGAAGTCAAAATTATGAGATATAAAGTCATAATTATGAGATATAAAGTCATAATAATGAGATAAGAAGTCAAAATTATGAGATTTAAAGTCGCAATAATGAGATGTAAAGTCATAATAATGAGATAAGAAGTCGAAATTATGAGATATAAAGTCATAATTATGAGATATAAAGTCATAATAATGCGATATAAAGTCATAATAATGAGATAAGAAGTCAAAATTATGAGATTTAAAGTCGTAATAATGAGATGTAAAGTCATATTAATAAGATAAAAAGTCATAATAATGAGATATAAAGTCATAATAATGAGACATAAAGTCATAATAATGAGATAAGAAGTCGAAATTATGAGATATAAAGTCATAATAATGAGATATAAAGTCATAAATATGAGATATAAAGTCATAACAATGAGATAAATAGTCATAATTATGAGATATAAAGTCATAATTATGAGATATAAAGTCATAATAATGAGATATAAAGTCATAATTGTGAGATATAAAGTCATAAGTATGAGATATAAAGTCATAATAATGAGATATAAAGTAATGATAATGCGATAAGAAGTCAAAATAATGAGATAAAAAGTCATAATAATGAGATAAGAAGTTGACATTATGAGATATAAAGTCATAATAATGAAATATAAAGTCATAATAATGAGATAAGAAGTCGAGATAATGAGATATAAAGCAATAACAATGAGATATGAAGTCATAATAATGAGAGATGTCGAAATATTGAGATGAAAAGTAATTAATGAGATAAAAAGTCATAATAATGAGATATGAAGTCATAATAATGATATATAAAGTCATAATAATGAGATTAAAAAGTCGAAATCATGAGATAAAAAGTCATAATAATGAGATATAAAGTCATAATAATGAGATAAGAAGTCGAAATTATGAGATATAAAGTCATAATTATGAGATATAAAGTCATAATAATGCGATATAAAGTCATAATAATGAGATTTAAAGTCGTAATAATGAGATGTAAAGTCATATTAATAAGATAAAAAGTCATAATAATGAGATATAAAGTAATAATAATGCGATAAGAAGTCAAAATAATGAGATAAAAAGTCATAATAATGAGATAAGAAGTCGAAATAATGAGATAAGAAGTCGAAATTATGAGATATAAAGTCATAATAATGAGATATAAAGTCATAAATATGAGATATAAAGTCGAAATAATGAGATATAAAGTCATAATAATTAGATAAGAAGTCGTAATTATGAGATATAAAGTCATAATAATGAGATATAAAGTCGAAATCATGAGATAAAAAGTCATATTAATGAGATAAAAAGTCATAATAATGAGATAAGAAGTCGAAATTATGAGATATAAAGTCATAATAATGAGATATAAAGTCATAAATATGAGATATAAAGTCATAACAATGAGATAAATAGTCATAATTATGAGATATAAAGTCATAATTATGAGATATAAAGTCATAATAATGAGATATAAAGTCATAATTGTGAGATATAAAGTCATAATTATGAGATATAAAGTCATAATAATGAGATATAAAGTAATGATAATGCGATAAGAAGTCAAAATAATGAGATAAAAAGTCATAATAATGAGATAAGAAGTTGACATTATGAGATATAAAGTCATAATAATGAAATATAAAGTCATAATAATGAGATAAGAAGTCGAGATAATGAGATATAAAGCAATAACAATGAGATATGAAGTCATAATAATGAGAGATGTCGAAATATTGAGATGAAAAGTAATTAATGAGATAAAAAGTCATAATAATGAGATATGAAGTCATAATAATGATATATAAAGTCATAATAATGAGATTAAAAAGTCGAAATCATGAGATAAAAAGTCATAATAATGAGATATAAAGTCATAATAATGCGATATAAAGTCATAATAATGAGATTTAAAGTCGTAATAATGAGATGTAAAGTCATATTAATAAGATAAAAAGTCATAATAATGAGATATAAAGTAATAATAATGCGATAAGAAGTCAAAATAATGAGATAAAAAGTCATAATAATGAGATAAGAAGTCGAAATAATGAGATAAGAAGTCGAAATTATGAGATATAAAGTCATAATAATGAGATATAAAGTCATAAATATGAGATATAAAGTCGAAATAATGAGATATAAAGTCATAATAATTAGATAAGAAGTCGTAATTATGAGATATAAAGTCATAATAATGAGATATAAAGTCGAAATCATGAGATAAAAAGTCATATTAATGAGATAAAAAGTCATAATAATGATATATAAAGTCATAATAATGAGATTAAAAAGTCGAAATCATGAGATAAAAAGTCATAATAATGAGATATAAAGTCATAATAATGAGATAAGAAGTCGAAATTATGAGATATAAAGTCATAATTATGAGATATAAAGTCATAATAATGCGATATAAAGTCATAATAATGAGATTTAAAGTCGTAATAATGAGATGTAAAGTCATATTAATAAGATAAAAAGTCATAATAATGAGATATAAAGTAATAATAATGCGATAAGAAGTCAAAATAATGAGATAAAAAGTCATAATAATGAGATAAGAAGTTGACATTATGAGATATAAAGTCATAATAATGAGATATAAAGTCATAATAATGAGATAAGAAGTCGAAATAATGAGATATAAAGTCATAATAATTAGATAAGAAGTCGTAATTATGAGATATAAAGTCATAATAATGAGATATAAAGTCGAAATCATGAGATAAAAAGTCATATTAATGAGATAAAAAGTCATAATAATGAGATATTAAGTCATAATAATGAGATAAGAAGTCGAAATAATGAGATATAAAGAAATAATAATGAGATAAGAAGTCGAGATAATGAGACAAAGCAATAACAATGAGATATGAAGTCATATTAATGAGATAAGAAGTCGAAATCATGAGACAAAAAGTCATATTAATGAGATAAAAAGTCATAATATTGAGATATTAAGTCATAATAATGAGATAAGAAGTCGAAATTATGAGATATAAAGTCATAATTATGAGATATAAAGTCATAATAATGCAATATAAAGTCATAATAATGAGATAAGAAGTCGAGATAATCATAATTATGAGATATAAAGTCATAATAATGAGATATAAAGTAATAATAATGCGATAAGAAGTCAAAATAATGAGATAAAAAGTCATAATAATGAGATATAAACTCATAATTATGAGATATAATTCATAAAAATGAGATAAAAAGTTGAAATTATGAGATAGAAAGTCATAATTGTGAGATAAGAAGTCAAAATAATGAGATAAAAAGTTGACATTATGAGATATAAAGTCATAATAGTGAGATAAGAAGTCGTAATTATGAGATATAAAGTCATAATAATGAGATATAAAGTCATAAATATGATATATAAAGTCATAACAATGAGATAAATAGTCATAATTATGAGATATGAAGTTATAATAATGAGATATAAAGTCATAATTGTGAGATATAAAGTCATAATAATGAGATATAAAGTAATAATAATGCGATAAGAAGTCAAAATAATGAGATAAAAAGTCATAATAATGAGATAAGAAGTTGACATTATGAGATATAAAGTCATAATAATGAGATATAAAGTCATAATAATGAGATATAAAGTAATAATAATGCGATAAGAAGTCGAAATAATGAGTCAAAAAGTCACAACAGTGTTGTCGTGGCCGAGTGGTTAAGGCGATGGACTAGAAATCCATTGGGATCTTCCCGCGCAGGTTCGAATCCTGCCGACAACGATCTATTAGAGGTCACAATTATGAGATATTAAGTCATAATAATGAGATATAAAGTCATAATTATGAGATATAAACTCATAATTATGAGATAAGAAGTCAAGATAATGAGATATAAAGCAATAACAATGAGATATGAAGTCATAATAATGAGAGATGTCGAAATAATGAGATGAAGTCATAATAATGAGATAAAAAGTCATAATAATGAGATATGAAGTCATAATAATGATATATAAAGTCATAATAATGAGATTAAAAAGTCTA